ATCCCACCATTTTGTTTCAAATACATTCATGCACTTGGATTTCTAGTCTTCGTGTTTATCTACCATTTACTTTGGAGGGAATATTTTATTTATGAAGATTAAGGTAAAAGCAGAAATGGGGGAGGGGAACTTTGTAGATAGACAGTTCGACCAGCTGTTTCAGTACTGATATCTGCTCTGGTTTAAAGGCAAATCTTGACTTATTCATGTGACTTACAGACTGAGGAAGACAATAGCACATTGGTTATTTGTAGCGTACATTCACAAAAGGATGCACAGAGTTTGTCTAACTACAAGGGCTAAAAAAATAATGAATATGCTTAGTCTTCTAAAAATTGTGTTTCTGGGGTGGATTCCATGACTGACGGATCCCTGGGGCTCGTATAAATCCTCTGTCACGTGTTTATGCCATGGAGGTACTTCTGATGTAACTGGATATTTTTTCCCCCCCTCAGGCCTTGTTGCTGTTAGGTGGTGTTGCTCTGTCCTGCCTTGCTCTGGATCTCCTCTTTCTCCTGTTCTACTCATTCTGGCTGTGCTGCCGCCATCGAAAAAGTGAAGAGCACTTAAATGCAGATTGCTGCTGCACTGCTTGGTGTGTTATCATAGCAACCCTTGTCTGCAGGTGAGTTTTTACATTTGTCTACATGGTAAATTTAATGTCCCCTATTTTGTCATTGCCACTTCCTACACTGCATCCCTCCCACACAATACATATGCTGAGCATCAGCTACTGAGGCAGTGACTCAATATATTGGTTAGAGTATTGTTGGAAACAACCTCCTCTTCTTTTTTTAAGTATTTTCCTAACTTCAAAATCCAGCATAGACTCTTCTGATGACTGTTCTACACCTTACTGTATAGGGGCTATGATGACTATAACAATAGAAGACTTGCAATTTACTAACAGTTAAACAAGAACCTTGTCCTGAAGAACTACTAAAGATGGGTGCAGTTCAAATTATCAGGCCTAGTCAGGGGTTTACTTTGGAAGCAGTTTCCCCTAAGTAAATACATGAGGTAGTTTTAGGGTCAAGAGTCATGGATCTACCTCTTGGAACTAGGAAGAAGTCAGTATTTCAATATAAATAGTGTCCAGCGCTTGCAGTCCTCGTTCCACACTTCTGCATTTTTAATCCCTTTTGTAAGCCCGATACACTGCCTTGAGGATCACTAGTGATGTTGCTAGCTGTTTTAGTGCCAGAAACCTTTGATTGTAATGGACACTAACAGCAAGTGGATAATGAGAGAATATAGTCCTACTGGATTCTGCTTTTGGGTTGGTGCAGACAGGAATTCCTGCCCTCCAAAGAGTTAGTGGAAGGAGTTAGTAAATAGATTCCAGTTAAACAGTTTCTGAAACAAACCCGGGGGTTATTTGGACAATGTGGCAAAAACAATATACAGTACTGCAGTCTGTGAACTGAGTAAATTCCCTTGCATGTGGATAAATCCCTGCTCTTTGGCGGCACTTGGGCTTGTCTGTCTTCTGTGGCCATGGTGCTTATTCCCAAAACCAGCCCTGCTCTGAAAATTTCCCAAGTGTGGTTATGGTGGCTTAGGGTTAGAAATTCCATGCAGTTCTACAGAGTCACGTTAGCATTTATTGTCCTTCTTTCCAAGTATTCTGAGAATACTTAGGATGAGATCATGCATGCAAAACTACCAAAGTTAGAGCCGACCTTAATTTTGACTTATGCAGTCCTGAACTCACTGATCAGGTGCATTTCTGTTGAACAAGCACTGCAAAAGGCTAGAAGCCTGGCAGAATCATTAGAGAGCTTTGGCATCAGTTTGCGTTTCTCCTGGTGTTTGAACTTGCAGGGAATTCTTCAATTCTGAGGAAAGCAAAGGGGGAAGGGAAGTGTCTTTGTTTCTTCCCCTTCTTTCTCCTTACCTGGTGAGGTAGATGGCTCCTTGGACTGAGCATTCATGGTGGAGGGGCAGTATTCTGTGTATGAGGGGCTTAGTTGCTTGAGTAGGGATTAGCTCGTACTCTGTATATGTTCACATTTGACCTTTTCAGGCACAGGATGAAGACTAGAAACACTCTGAAGTGCTGGAGCAAACACAGTGAAGCAGAACAGTGTGGTGTATTGTGAGCTTAGATAGCTGGGGATGGATTCACTTTTAAAGGCTGAGTTTCAAAATGTTAGAAAAGGGCTGATGTCTTGGCGCACAGGGGCTTCTGTCCAGGTAGCAACTGTGCCTTTCTGGGCTCAAACAGATGTATTGAGTGGAGTGTTGCAGGAAGGGGAAATAATAGTTTTTAGAGAATAATTCCTGTGTTCCTAGTCCTTTCATAAGAGGGGCTTTAATTGACGCTATTTATAAATGTGCTGCTGCAGGCTCTTTGATAACTGTTGTTTTGCAGTGATTTTGCTCAAGGCTTCAGTGGAAATAAGATTTTAAACTGTAGAAAGGTGAGACTGGAGATATTGTAGGTTTGGTGCCTCCCAAAGTAGGCAGGTTAAAGGGTAAGGCTTTGTACCAAATTATTTTCAAACACGAGTTTTCATGGAGTGTGATATCACTAATCTGGAGAGATTCTCTTCTGAAATCTCAACTAGTTGTTTCAATTGTTGATATTCTAGGTGTTACGCCAAGTGTCATTTGGGAGGAATGTGTCCTTACAGAAAAGATCTGACTGTTTGTCCAAGCAATATCTTCTTTCCTTCCTCCTCCAGGAAAATTCTTTAGTCTCTTCATTTGTTTGAAATTTGCCCTCCTCCTGAATTGGTAACTGGCTAGCTCATGAAGCAGTAGTTCATAATCATTGGTGGTAATTGAAAGTGCTGTCTAGATGCTGCTTTCTCTTAAACTATGAGTACTGGCTTTGCAACCTGCAGCTCTGGTAAGTTTCCTCTTTTTAAGGTGTCCTTCTGCTAGATATGGGAGTACAAGAGTTTATGGCTGGCTAAAGAACAATAACAGGAAGCCCTTCGCTTGTTCTTCACCTTAATGGGTATAGATGCTCCAAATTAACTTGTGTTGCTAACCAGACTAGTTGACTGGGTATTAGGGATGTGAACGTATACACATGGGCCTGGGCTCATGTGTATAACCATGAGGGTTAACCCAATTCCCCTGCCTCACCCCACTGCTTGTGGAGCTCACTCTGCCTCCCACAGAGATAGCAGCATAGGGGAGGTGGAGGGAGCTGGCTTAAAAAGACCTGGCTCCTGCTTTCTTCCCTCCTCCTCCCCCCCCCCCCCCC